CAGGGGACAAGGGACACCACCAGGCACAGGGGACAAGGGACCTTCTTGGGGACCAGCCTGGGGTCAGGGGACAAGGGACACCACCAGGCACAGGGGACAAGGGACCTTCTTGGGGACCAGCCTGGGGTCAGGGGACAAGGGACACCACCAGGCACAGGGGACAAGGGACCTTCTTGGGGACCAGCCTGGGGTCAGGGGACAAGGGACACCACCAGGCACAGGGGACAAGGGACCTTCTTGGGGACCCCCCTTCCCCAGTGGTAGGGGTTGAGGGACACCACCTCTGGGACCAGCCTGGGGACAGGGGACAAGGGACACCACCAGGCACAGGGGACAAGGGACCTTCTTGGGGACCAGCCTGGGGTCAGGGGACAAGGGACACCACTGGGGACAAGGGAAGGACCACCTCGGGGACAGGGGACACCGCTAGGGACAGGGGACACCTCAAGAACCAGCCCTGGAGATGGGGACAAGAGACCTCTTGGGGACGTGGGACAAGGGACCCTCTTGGGGACCCTCTCCCCAATGGCCGGGGTCAAGGGACACCCCCTTTGGGACCATCCTGGGGACATGGGGATCCCCCCCGCCTCCATCCCAGGGTGACGGTGACGGTGGCCGGCTGTCAGGCCAGATCCTGCGCCCAGCTCCAGCCGTCAACGGCATCACGCCACTGCCACCGCCTGCCACCTGCCTCCATGGGGACAAGGACAGGGACAAGGACCTGCCCAGGGGGACGGGGATGGGGATGAAGACCTGTCTCCATGGGGACAGCAGGGACCTGCCCATGGAGATGGGAACGGGGATGGGACCTACCATGGGGATGGGGACAATCTCCACGCCCTGGTGTCCCTGGTGTCCCCACATCTTTGTGCTCCGGTGTCCCCATGTCCCCATGCTCGGACGTGCATGGTGTCCCCATGTCCCTGTGCCCTGGTGCCCCTGGTGTCCCCACATCTCCATGCCCTGGTGTCCCCACATCTCTGTGCTCCAGTGTCCCCATGTCCCCATGCCTCCACATCCATGGTGTCCCCATGTCCCTGTGCCCTGGTGCCCCTGGTGTCCCCACATCTCCATGCCCTGGTGTCCCCACATCTCTGTGCTCCAGTGTCCCCATGTCCCTGTGCCTCAGTGTCCCCATGTCCTCATGCCCTGGTGTCCCCACATCTCCATGCCCTGGTGTCTGTGCCCCAGTGTCCCCATGTCTCGGTGCTCCAGTGTCCCCATGTCCCTGTGCCCTGGTGCCCCCATGTCCTCATGCCCTGGTGTCCCTGGTGCCCCCATGTCCCCATGCCCTGGTGTCCCTGGTGTCCCCACATCTCCATGGCCTGGTGTCCCTGGTGTCCCCACGTCCCTGCTCCCCGGCGTCCCTGGCCATCCCCACTGTCCCCATGTCCCCCAATATCCCCAGTGTCCCTGCAGTGGCCGTCCCCACATCCCTGTGTCCCTGCGCCCCGCGTCCACATGCCCCAGTATCCCAGGTGGCCCTGGTGCCCCTGGTGGCCCCGGTGCTCCTGATGGCCCCAGGGGCACTAATGTCTCTGGTGGCCCTGGTGGCCCTGGTGGACTCAGTGCCCCTGGTGCCCCTAGTGGCCCCAGTGGCCCTGGTGTCCTCGGTGTCCCCAGCGTCCCCACATCCCTGTGTCCCTGCGCCCCGCGTCCACATGCCCCAGTATCCCAGGTGGCCCTGGTGCCCCTGGTGGCCCCGGTGCTCCTGATGGCCCCAGGGGCACTAATGTCTCTGGTGGCCCTGGTGGCCCTGGTGGACTCAGTGCCCCTGGTGCCCCTAGTGGCCCCAGTGGCCCTGGTGTCCTCGGTGTCCCCAGTGTCCCTGGTGGCCCCAATGCTCCTGGTGGCCCTGGTGACCCCAGTGGCTTTGGTGGCCCTGATGTCCTGGGTGGCCCCAGTGGCCCTGATGTCCCCAATGTCCCCTGTGGCCCTGGTGCCTCTGATGGCTCTGGTGGCCCCGGTACCCCTGGTGCCCCCTGGTGGCCACGGAGGCCCTGACGTCTCCAGTGCTCCTGGTGCCCCTGGTGACCCCGGTGCTCCCGGTGTCCCTGGTGTTCCTGGTGGCCACGGTGCCCCTGGTGACCCTAGTGGCCCCAATGACCCGGTGGCCCCGGTGCCCCTGGTGGCCCCAGTGGCCCTGGTGGCCCCAATGCTCCTGGTGGCCCTGGTGGCCCCGGTGGCCCTGACGCCCCCACACCCCTGTGCCCCTGCCCCCCGCGTCCACATGCCCCAGTATCCCAGGTGGCCCTGGTGCCCCTGGTGGCCCCGGTGCTCCTGATGGCCCCAGGGGCACTAATGTCTCTGGTGGCCCTGGTGGCCCTGGTGGACTCAGTGCCCCTGGTGCCCCTAGTGGCCCCAGTGGCCCTGGTGTCCTCGGTGTCCCCAGTGTCCCTGGTGGCCCCAATGCTCCTGGTGGCCCTGGTGGCCCCGGTGGCCCTGATGTCCTGGGTGGCCCCAGTGGCCCTGGTGGCCCTGATGTCCCTGGTGGCCCCGGTGACTTTGGTGGCCCTGATGTCCTGGGTGGTCCCAGTGGCCCTGGTGACCCCGTTGGCCCCAGTGGCCCTGATGTCCCCAATGCCCCCTGTGGCCCTGGTGCCTCTGATGGCTCTGGTGGCCCCGGTACCCCTGGTGTCCCTGGTGGCCACGGAGGCCCTGACGTCTCCAGTGCTCCTGGTGCCCCTGGTGACCCCGGTGCTCCCGGTGTCCCTGGTGTTCCTGGTGGCCACGGTGCCCCTGGTGACCCTAGTGGCCCCAATGACCCGGTGGCCCCGG